CCTGCTCAGGTGTTTGCCTCCTTGACCCTCACTTTGCAGGAGCTGCCCCGTGCCTCATGTCCCTGTGCCTGGTGTCCCTGTGCCCTGTGTCACCGTGTCCCCCGCCCCCGCGCTGCTGTGAGCCCCTAGCAGGCCTGCCTCCAGTTTAACTGCCTGGTGGGGTGGGCGGCTCCAGGGCCCTGTGCACATGTGCACACGTGCGATATATCACAGTCGTGACCAAGTGTTTCGACTCTTGGGCCTGAATTCTGTTTCCTAAATGTCTGTCACTAGTCCTGCACCTCTTTTAGCAGCGACTGTCAGGTATGTTTCTGGGCCTCTGCCTACACATTCCCTGGCCAGTGAGCTCACTCAGCCTTTCTGAGACTAATGAGTAAATTCTCAGCCGCCATCACTGAGGCTCAGTAGAAAACAGAAGGGCAAGTAGAGCCTTAAAACTGACTTTATTATTTGTGCTGCTTTGCTTAATGCAGTAAACTCTTGTTGACTTGGGGTTCTTAATAATTCAGAATTTGTGAATGCAAAGTCTGAGAAAAAAGTGTTTGCTAAAAAGCAAAACAACTCTTTAATGGTGAAAGGCAGATTTTTAATTTCTTAGAAAGCTCAACAAATGGCGCAATAGTTTTGAAGTAAATAAATTGATGCTATTAAATTATTGAATAAAAATTGTTTCAGGGTTTCATTTTATCTACAGCCTGCCTACTTCTCTTCCCCTGTCACCCTTCTCCCCAGAATCCATTTCAGGGGTAGATATTTTTAATTGAATTTTGTTGGGGTGACATTGGTTAATAAAATTATATAGGTTTCAGGTGTACAATTCTACGATGCACCATCTGTATATTGTATTGTGTGTTTACCACCCCAAGTCAAGACTCCTTCCATCACCATTTATTTCCCCTTTATCGTCATCTTCTTCCTCCCAAACCCCCTTTCCCTCTGGTAATGACCATACTGTTGTCTGTGTCTATGAATTTTTTGTTTTTATTTGTTTTTTGCTTAATCCTTCACCTTTTTCATCCAGCCCCTCAACCCCCCTCCCATCTGACAGCTATCAATTTGTTCTGTTTCTTTGTTTTGTTTTGTTAGTTTATTCTGTTCATTAGATTCCACATATAAGTGAGATCGTATGTCTTTCTCCGACTGGCTTATTTCATTTAGCATAATATTCTTCAGGTCCATCCATTGTATCAAAGAGTAAGAGTTCCTTCTTTTTTTAAAAAAATATATTTTATTGATATTTTACAGAGAGGAAGGGAGAGGGATAGTTAGAAACATCGGTCAGCTGTCTCCTGCACACCTCCCACTGAGGATGTACATGCCCTTGACTGGAATCACACCTGGGACCTTTCAGTCCTCAGGCCGACGCTCTATCCACTGAGCCAAACCAGTTAGGGCAAGAGTTCCTTCTTTTTAACAGCCGTTGCAATGTGTAAATGAACCACAGATTTTTTATCCACTCACTTACTTACCAATGGGCACTTGGGCTGCATCCTAATCTTGGCTATTGTAAATAATGTTGCAATGAACATAGGGATGCATACAGTGGGGCCTTGACTTACGAGTTTAATTTGTTCCGAGACCGAGCTCGTTAAGGAGCTCGTTAAGGAGCTCATTAACTCAAATTACTCTATCAACTCAAAGCACAAAATCGACTGAGAGACAGCTGGTATCTCAAAAAACTCGTTAGTCGGGACACTTGTAAGTCAAGGCCCCACTGTATATTCTTTTGAATTAGTGTTTCAGGTTTCTACATATATATCCCCAGAAGTGGAATTGCTGGGTCATAAGGCAGTTCCATTTTTAATTTTTTGAGGTAACTCCATACTGCTTTCTCCAGTGGCTGCACCAGGCTGCATTCCCAAACACAGAATCATCATTAACTTCAGGGGTAGATACAGTGGGGCCTTGACTTACGAGTGTCCCGACTAACGAGTTTTTTTTGGAGATAAGAGCCATCTCTAGGCCGATTTTTTGCTTTGAGTTGCAAGCTCAAAAAAATTCGGGTTATGAGCCAGCTTCAGATACCCCACCACTAGTTGGCACAGCAAACGTCACAGTGATTTGACATACGAGTAATTTGAGTTATGATCTCCGTCATGGAACGAATTAAACTCGTAAGTCAAGGCTCCACTGTATTTTGAATGTTAATTATAGCCATTTAATGAGTATTTATTTCTTGACAATTACCAAACACCATCTATATTATGCTATTTAATTTCACAACTACTTGTGTGTTAAGAGTTAGCATGATCACTTTAATACGCTAATATTGTTACATAACAAACACTAAGTAATTGGCCTACAGGTATTCACGAGGTCCCAAGGCCTCCCCCAGATACACAACAGTCATTGTGTTCTGTATTGCATGTGTACACTTCATGTATATAATGGAAGTACAGCCTCATTAAAGCAGTTATGACCAGAAGCAGCAAAATGAGTCTGTTCTTGCCTATTTTCTTTTCTTTTTAAAAAATGTTTTCATTGGCGTGACTCAGTGGTTGAGTATTGACCTATGAACCAGGAGGTTGAGGTTCAATTCCCGGTCAGGGCACATGCCCAGGTTGTGGGCTTGATCCCCAGTGAGGGGCATGCAGGAGGCAGCCAATCAATGATTCTCTCTCGTTCTCTCTCTTCATTCCTCTCTGAAATCAATTTAAAAAATGTTTTCATTGATTTTTAGAGAGAGAAGAATGAGAGAGAATCATCAATTGGCTGCCTGCTGCATGTCCCCAACTGGGTATTGAGCCCACAACCCAGGCATGTGCCCTGACTGGGGATCAAACTGGTTACCCCTTGGTTCATGGGTCGATGATCAACCTCTAAGGCACACTGGCCAGGCTACCCATGTTTGTGCCAATTTTCAATGTTGGGACAAAATGATAATTTCAGGGGATTGAAAACTCATTGATGAATCCCTGATCTGGCACCAGTATTATCTGTACATGTTCAGATAAATCTTAGCTGATTTTGCACTCTCTCACGTTCTGCCCCACATCCTAATGCCACCAAGTACTTATATTTTTGCAATTTCAGGTCTTTTTCATAATAATTATTCTAACATTTTTCTCTTGAACTTGTGACCTCTATTTTTAATCTCAATCTAAGCTGACAGATTTTTTAAATCCAGCTAGCTGACCATGATTTCAGTCCCCAGGAAGGAGAACCAGACAAGAGTCAATCTCTAAGCTGAAAACGTGATTCCTTCCAGGCGATGGCTCAGGAGTGCCTTATGAAGGGGGCACTGAAACTCCTGCTGACCCCAGCTAGGCCCACTTACTTACATGTTCACTTCATATTCTCATCAACCCAGGCCACCTCTGCAAGGTTCTCAGGGTATTTTCTACAGAGAGCATACATGGTAATAACGTCTGATTTCAGAACAAGGAAGTACTTCTTAATAGTAAGAGGATAGAGACGGGTAGGCTGGAATATTTAGTACAGTTTTACACTGTGGGACTAAGGGAGATGTAGTAAAATGGCTAAAGAGGTAAAGGAGAAGATGTGTATATAGGTAGGGAGAGGTGTATCGTATTTGATCATGAGTAGCAATTTGAGAAGATAAAGAACTCGAGACATGGGCAAATGTAATTTCTGTAGTATCACTTGTTTTCAGGCTTCCCTTTCTTTTCCTTCAAAAAATTACAAACTTTTGAAATAACATTTATTTTGTGTCTCTGTTACTAGATTGCACATTCTATAAGGACAGGGACCATGGTCTGTTGTTTATCTTTCTATTCCTAGTGCTTGTGGAATTTATAGTTGTTGAATGAAAATAAATGAATCAGTAAATGGATAAAACATAGGTGGCTTAGGTAATGTGGACATGAGATTTATTATTTAATAATATACAATTTAATGGGAGTTTGCCACAGAATGGCTTCTGAGCTGGGTTAGGCTAACAGCTGAGAGGGGCTTTGTTGATGGGTGACAAGTGAGAAGTGCTCCTGCCCTTAAATCCTGTCAGTGTTTCCCTCTGAGAATGGTAGGGAAGAGCCTGTTTGAGAGCATTGCTTCGGAGGCAGGGTATGATGTTCACTGCTGTCCTGCTCTGTCGGACATAGAACTGTCTGTAACGTTCCTAATTCTCAGTCCGTGTTACTGTTCATGGAGCCGTGACCAGTGCTGATGGTCCCCCAGGAGACTCAAACTGATGTATTTTCTCCACTGTGAGGAGCTGCGGGACCAACAGGAAATGGTCACTGCCCAGGTGTGAGTCTCTAGAGCTGATCCCCATGGTCACCGTCAACAAGTGGAGGGAAAAGAAGTCCAGGTTTTTCATCTTTATTTAAAAACATTGTGAACAGTGGCCTGTATAACGTAGCAATTTAAACATTTAAAGGCTGCATTTTTATTAATTGGTAACAGAATAACTCCCATAAAATGATTGCTGTTAGCTCTTGACCCTGAAAAGTTAACTGACTCATGTGCTTACTTGAGCTAATCAAGTGGCCCAGCTCGGGTCCTCATCCTGGACTCGGAATCCAGGGATCTTTCCCGCTGGTTCAGGGAGGACCCTCCCCGTGGGGAGACTTGCCTGTGCCCCCACATCTCACTCTCTATTTTCCTCTCTGTTTCCCCTCCCCTCCCAGTGGAGCCTACAGTGACCATCTCCCCGGCCAAGACAGAGGCCCTGAACCACCACAACATGCTGGTCTGCTTGGTGACGGATTTCTATCCAGCCCACATCAAAGTCCGCTGGTTCCGGAATGACCAGGAGGAGACAGCTGGCGTCGTGTCCACCCCCCTGATTAGGAACGGGGACTGGACCTACCAGATCCTCGTGATGCTGGAAATGACCCCCCAGCGAGGGGAC